CACTGCACTTTGCTTTTTTGTCTTATGAACTGATCACTTGCTTGGTTTAATCTCCTATATTTGTTTGCCAATTTCTGCTCATTTTCAAGGAGACTCTTATTGATGGGACTTCGTTGAATCTGCTTTTGACACTCCTCTAGCTCTTCCTTAGCTTGTTTTGCTTTCAGTTATATGTCACTAAATTTGTTTATATTCAGCTATTGGAGTACTTTCTTCAGCCTATTAAGTTTCCCAACTAACTTATACATATTGGTTCCTCTGATTCATTATTCCAGCTATCTCCCACTTTTTCATTGAATTCGGGATCTATACTCCACATGTTAGAGTACTTGAATGGTCTGTTGATCCTCTGGTTTCCATTCTCCCAGTTTATCATAGCTGGGCTATGATCAAATAAGCCATCAGTCATATAGTGAACCATAAAAGCTGGCAACTATGATAACCAGTCCATGTTTACCAATACTTTGTCAATTTTGCTAAGTACGCTATCTTCTCCACTTTGCTTGTTGTTCCAGGTGTAATAGGAACCTATTGATTTCAGCTCTTGGAAGCAGCATGTATCATAGCACTACCTGAAATCTCTTATTTCAGCCATTGTCACTGGGCTGCCTACCTTATCTTCCTTGTACAAAAAATTATTGAAATCACCCATCATAGCCCATGGTCCTCGAGTGTAGTTGTAGATATCCACTATCTCCTTCCATATGTTCCTTAAAAGTGCCATATCATTGTAAGCATATACCATTATTATATGGAGTTTCTTCCCAGTTCCTTTGTGTCTGACTTCACTATGAATTAGTTGATCAGTAGTTCTCAATATGCATACTTCAAATATAATTGGATTCCACAATAACAATATTCTCCCCCTCAAGGTGTTGTGCAAAATTAGTGGTAAACGACCATCCATCACACAGATTAAGAGAAGCTCTATAAGCTTTAGCTCTCTTAATCTTAGTTTCCAGGAGATCAAACAAGCCAGCACCATTTTTATGCATAAACAGATGAATATCTCTCTATTTATCTGGTTTGTTAAGTCCCCGGACATTCCAGAATCCGATCATATCCATTAGGTAGGGGATTACCTCCACCCCTCCCATGTTTTGGTCCAGCCACACCATGTTCTCCCTTAGGGTAAGAAGAACTGGTTTTGCCTTATCTTGGATCTTCTATAGTCATATCCTTATCAAGTACAACAAATGCATTCTTTATAGGGATTGCCTTTTCAGGTACAACAATTGCAATTTTTGTAGGGATTGCATTGTCTTCATTTGATTGCTTCCTTGTCACCTTGTCACTAGTTCTGTTTTCTCCCTTTTTGTTCCCCTCTGCTTGATTAGGTTCCTCTCCTGCTTGTTTCTCCTTCTCAATTTGTTTCCGTCTCATTTGTAATTCTTCCTTGTGTAGCTTCCTACAATCTTGCAGTTCATGTCCAAAATTTATACATTTTGGACATAATGTAGGCTTCCATTCATAGTACACCGCTTGCTTCACTATTTTCCCAACTCATTTTCAAACATGATTTGTGTAGGGTATTGCTGATTTGTTGACACTTCAACTAGCACCCTAGCAAATGCTAGTCGTTCCTTATTGGTTGTTGCTCTGTCAGCCTTTAGAGGTTTTCCTACCATCCCTGAAATTTTGGTAAGAGCATTCTTCCCCCAGTATTTGATATCCAATCCCTTGAGTCTAATCCACATCGGGATTCTGTCTACTTTTTCTTTGCTCATATCTATGTTTGGTTCCCATGGCTTTACCACTACAGGCTTTTTATCAAACATCTGGACTCCCTCCTCAATTACTTTGGTTCTACTTTCAATTGTGTGGAATCGCACCAGAAAAACTCCTATGTTGACTTGCCCGATCTTATCCATACCCAATCCTCCCCAAATCCTACGAAAATATCCATCAACTACAGCCAGTGGGGGATTGGATCCCAAAACATAGCATATCACCGCTGATTTCTAGTATACAATTTCATCTTTGATGTCTTCCATAGTAATTTTGATGTTTTCTCCAGTCGTTTCCTCATAATTTTTAAACCATCCTCCTCCGGTACTGTTCCCACAATTTTACTCCATGAATTTGTTTTAGGGCTCAATTGTGCCTTACTCATCCCACTCGTCTCCGTCATTTCCGCCTTTACCCTATCCGCCTAGGATCCTCCTGATTTCTCACCAAATTGAGCCAATAGAGTCTTCACCGGAGCCAGTGGAATCATCGCCGGAGCCAGTGGAGTCATCGCCGATACTTGGCTTAACCCTAATGGCACAATTCCTTGAATTGCATTGATGTTTCGCGTCTTCTTCGCATTAGCTGACTGTGGAATTCCATTTGAACTCATTTGGTTGCTTGAATTTCCTACCTTACGTTGCTGCCCTCCCCATCCATTCTTCGTTTTCCTCATCATTTTCAGTGTTACCTGAGAGGAAAAGTCATTCTAGAGAGAGAAAGTGTGTCTTAATTATAGAGTTTTTGGGATTGATTATAAAATTTTCTTTATCCACCTCTTTTAGTACATTCATTTCTACTATAATATTTGATTAGTTTTCTCATTTTATATTTACTGAAAATTTAGATCATATCATTTTTTTTTGCTAAATTATAATTTTGAATTCATCAAAAGTATAAAGAGATACTTTTATTATTTTTATAAAAACACGTACTAATATTTTTAATAATTAATAAAATGTGTTTTATATATAATATATTAGCTTATGTATAATATCCTAATAGTTTCTTTATATTTTTGAATTTTTTATTACGAAATTATGAGTTCTATTTATTAACTAAATTTTCCTACATGAGAAATTTAATTAGTATATGTATTTTTATGATATCATTTGATTTTTTGTTTAGTATTCTTCATTTAAGACTATTTGCTTATTATGATTTAGTTATGTGCATAAGTACGACTTTTTACATAATAATTCTAATTATTTTTATAAGTCTTATATATATATATATTTCTTTGTTATCTAATTGTATTATCCATTATTTAATATTGTTAAATTGACATATGAATTATTAATAAATTATTAATTTAGTATAATAACTACTCCCGTACACACATACGCACTACTACTATATTAGGATGAAATTACTCTGAATTGGTAGTTTTATATTTTTTGTTACTTTTGTTTTTTTATTTTAAAATAATTTTAAAACTCCAATTTGAATGAGTAGAATATTTTTTTTTGTATTTTAATTTTTTATTAATAATATAAGATATCTATATTTATTAATTCAAGTAGTGTAACCAAATAATTCAAAATTTANTATATATATATATATATATATATATTGGTTATCTAATTGTATTATCCATTACTTAATATTAAATTAATAAATTACCAATTTAGTATAATAACTACTCCCATATATATACAATAACAAACACACTACTACTACTACTATATTAGAAAGAAATAACTCTCTAATTTGAATTGGTAGTTTTTTATTTTTTGTTATTTTTGTTTTTTATTGTAAAATAATTTTAAAATTCCAATTTGAATGAGTAGAATATTTTTTTATATTTTCGTTTTTTATTGATAATTATAAGATATCTATATTTATTAATTCAAGTAGTGTAACCAATTAATTCAAAATTTAAAATTCAAAAAAAAATTAGTTAGAAAAGTAGTTTATTTTATCTTTACAATGTCACTTGACTTTTTGTGGTTAAGACACTTGTCTTAATGTAGTGCTTTTGCTTCTCCTAAGATATCCTTGGTTATCTAATTGTATTATCCATTACTTAATACTATTAAATTGACATATGAATTATTAATANCCCCCCTCCCACACACACAACAACAACTACTACTACTACTAGGAAGAAATTACTCTCCAATTTGAATTGGTAGTTTTTTATTTGTTGTTATTTTTTTAATGTAAAATAATTTTCAAACTCCAATTTGAATGAGTAGAATATTGTATTAAGATATCTATATTTATTAATTCAAGTAGTGTAACCAATTAATTCAAAAAAAAAATTTAGTTAGAAATGTAGTTTATTTTGTCTTAACAATGCCACTTGTCTTTTTGTGGTTAAGACAGTTGTCTTAATGTTGTTCTTTTCTTAATGTTGTTCTTTTGATTCTCTTATTCTATATAGATATTTATGACTTGTCAGGAAGATTTATAATTACATAGTAAAAACCAGAAAAACAAAAGATAAATAGGACATAGTCAATGAGGTAAGTGTTCACACTCGTTCACATATGCTATCATCATCACTCTGAACAACTATGACGAAAAAGTAACAATTTACAACATCTTGAAAAGAATATGATATTGCAGACTTGTCTAAATCAGCAGTTTGTTTATATTCACTCAATAATAAAGAGAATTTTAATCGTTCCATGCTTTGCAATTAAACCCAAAAGGGTCACTTGATTCTTAATCAAAAAGATGAAAGAGGAACATGTGGGCCTTTCAACTTTCAACGTTGAAAAGATGTGCAGCAGATAATTCAAATGGGGGCTGAACCAAGACAGATAGAAATCACCTGACCACCTTGAGTTTGAGTTTTGACTAACCACCACAACAATTTTCCTATTTTTTTCCTCCACTTTCATACGGAGGGAATATTCTTTCCTTGCTAAAAAGAATACATTAGCATCATGTTTTGTTACCATCATACGTATAAGTTTTCTTCTGTATTAGTGTGGGAAACTCCTGATGCCGGACTCGCATTGTAAAGAACATCGGAGTGAGGCCCAAGTCCAACTTACTATTCCTAAAGCAAGTACGCTTACCAGTTACCACACACGGTCTAATATTTTGCTGGAAAGTAAGATGAGCAAATGTCGAAGGAATAAGAGAAAATCCAATTAAAGGGTAAACTAAGGTTGCACTTGGGAGAGTTAGTAAATCCTTTTCACAGGAGATTTTACTTCATTTGGTAATAATTTAATCCAGTTGAATACATGATAACATAAGTTTAATTGTCCAATTGATTCCCACTCATTTCTTAGCTACTATAGTCTGGAAGATGAAGATAAAGGCAACATCTTCTGAATTCAAGAACCTACCACATAACAAACCCATCCGAAGAGAAATAAGTGGACACTTCCACAGCTGGACTTCACAGAACTGCATGAAATAGTAATGATAAGAAGCCTTGACAATATAAAACCAGCAGAGATTTATCGATAGCAACAAACAAGTAAACCGCATTCACTATCCCTCAACAAGTGCCGTACTTCTCTTCATCAGTGATCTAATAGTCGAATTTGGTATTTCAAAAAGAAGAGAAGAAAAGGAAATGGTTTGTCTTTCCAATGTTACTTGTCAGTTTCATCACAGCTGATGCTGCTCATATATTTGCATATAAGCCTCAGAAAGTGCAACCATTTGGGGAAGAGTTTCAGAAACATGTAGGTCTTGCATCTCATACCTGCATCAATTAAAAGCATTAGGTTATCAAGTAATAAAATTAACCATTCCCTCTTTCTTTTCCATTTGTGGAGGGGGAAGTTTAGAACATCAAACTAGAAAGATATCAAACTTATTGATATGAGCTGTGTAACTAACCAAAGTTCTTCTGATTTCCGTTGGACAAACACCCTGTAGGATCCTTCACCTGGCTTACCATCATGAACAATATTAGCAATCAAATCATACTTTGAGCGAAGCTTCTCATTCTCCTTTGGTGCTGGCAGAGGAATATAATCCTTGAGCTCTAAATTCTTCACCGGGAAGTTAACTGAAAAAAGATGCATCAAGCGTCGTAAGTTACGAGATAGAAGCCTAACAGTGCAGTTCCAAAGTCTAACTATAAATACTTGAGGTTTAGAACTTTCTTGCATTATCTAGTTTTTTGTTTCTTTCATCCTCCCCACCGCCCTCTCCCTGCTCTCTAGCTGCCTTCTCCTGTGTGGAGGACACAGCGCAAGTGGACTCTCTAACAAGCAAAATAAAAAGATATTTTGATCAGGAAAAAGAAATTACACACCACTGATCCAGCAGAAAGTGAACCTAGAACACTAAACCTCACATCCCTCGTCTCCCCATCCCCCTCCTTAAACGCCCGTAAGTGGAGAATTTGGAATCAGAAAGAACAATTCTAACAAGCAATATAAACCAAAGCTTCAAACTAACAAAAGCTAGAACTTCAAACTCCTTGCTCCGCCCTGCCACCCACCCCTCAGAAGAAGTATTTACTATTTACTGATATTCAAATTGTAAAAGAGGCTAAGCGACATCCTAATCTACAGTAAGGTCTAGTATATGCTAGATGGGTAGCAGAACCAGGGCTTGAATAGAACAGCTTGGTACCATGTCCAACCAAAAAAATCAATTTGAGGGATGAGAATTTGACAGTATGAGTGAAAAACCACAGATATTTCACAAAAATGGACTAGTATTCCTATGACATCTTTGGAGAAACGGACTTTTAATCTGATAGGCAACTCAGGCAGTCTTCTTCTTCCTTTAATTCTGGGATTATTGTTTCCCTATTACCAAATTTCCTTCTTTTGGGTGGGGGAAGCTATGTGGGTGAAGGGGTACTGGCGAGCTAGCAGGAGTACTGACGAGGCTTTTAAGTCCATTGGAGGAGGGGATATTAATGACAAAGCTGTAGTTTTGACAAGGCTTCTACATTCACTATGAGTTAGATGTTTTGGTAATTTCATTCAATTCGAGGATAATATCAATATGAGTACTCACCAAGTGTCGGATTTTTCTCCATAAAGAAATTGTTCTTTGTAAACCTTCGCATGTGGAGAATTAGATACTGCGGCAATTTTGTTACACGGTATCTCATCCTCGCTATACGAGGCCTTACAACTTCAGTCACAGTTTCACCGTCAAACTTCTTAAGTATGTTGAATAATGGTACCTGCAATTTACAAAAATCAATTTAAGTACAAACTTGAGATGCATCATACGGTAAAAGGATGTAGATAATGAGGTCAACATTCAAGAGATTAAAGTTTCCAAAATTCGTGAACCATATTAGACAAAGTTCAAAAGCAGGTGTTTCATTAAGTTTGAAGAACTTGTTAGACACATTGAATAGAATCGATGGATGAATAGCCTCTAATCTACTTTGCGAAGCTAAAAAGATGAAAAAACAACCACCAAAAGAGAGCAGAAATAGATCATGAATATGTGCAAATAGGCATCTACACCGTAATTATCAAACTGTATCACCAACAAGCATATTCCCCTCTAGTTAATAAAATTCAAGAGATCCCACCTCCAACTCAAAGAATGACAAAATACCTCCCTTGTTGACAAAGACCAAGTGAAGGGCATTAAACGAAAATTGTATGATGCCCTGAATATTTTTTATCAACTGCTATTCCCTTAGTGGGAGTTGAGAGGGAGAAATCATTTCCTTATTCTTCTTCTATTTACTCCTTTTTTTTTCCATACACTTCATTTTCTGTTTTCCCAGTCCTTACCTCCTCCTCTCATTTCATTTCTTTGCTCTCATACTCTACCTCTCTTTCTTAGTGTGCTCTCATACTCTACCTCTCTTTCTTAGTGTGTCCTCCCTCCCCAAAACACAAGACCAACATCCAGAACTATCAAGATATTTAACTCACGAAAAATTAGTCAGTAGACCAAAGATCACAATAGGGCCAGGATAACACAGCTATACTTTCAAGAACCCTACATTTGTGTAATGGCCAATGATTTATTGCATGAAGATAACTGCATCGTGAGAATAACGTCAGTAAAATAGTTGTTCTTGCAGATATCATTCTAAATTGTAGTAGTAACTAATATCAAGTGAATGAACTATCTAAACTAGAAGAGAGGAGCTTCTCCTTATTTAAACTACAGAGAAATTCTTGAGCTTTAACCAAGTAGAAAGGAAACTCTCCGTAGTTAACCCAAAATTTTGGCACATCTACATAAAATTTCATTTCACCTCAGATCACTCAAAAATCCATTTAAACTCTACAACACTCGATAAACGAACTTGGAGAACTTTTTTTCAAGTGCAAAATATTTCTCAAAGAACAACTCGCACTTTCACATTTTCTAGCTGACATCTAGACACTTGCATTTCTGCATGCGCATAACGTATTAGAACAATAATACATTCAGAATGGCCAGGTAAAGGGGATGAAAAAAGTCACATATGATGACCACCATTCTCCACGAATCCTCGAGGAGGGAAAAAAAAAGAACAAGAAAAGAAGGCAAAACATTTCCAATGAATTAACAATAACAATTTTAAACTTGAAAAAACAAACCTGGGGAATAATATTCTTTTCCATGACATCTTTAAAAAGAGGTGGGGGTGGCAGATCGAGTCCAAGCATTAAGAAAGGCATTCTGCTACTTTCCATGGCAATATTGTGAGATCCATGTTGACCATCTTCCCCATTGCCATTATTCGGGGCATCCCCATTCTCCCTCTTCTCCGTAATAGGTCTACTATGCATCTCTTTCACAACCTCCAATTCCCCCTATACAAAAAGTATCGCATATTACCATAACAACCCACAAGTATATTTGAAAATGTTGAAGACAGTTATCTGTTGCAGCAAACCTGAAAGCACCGGTGGATTATGCTACTGCCTTTTTTGGAAGTTCTAAGCTCGGCGTGAAGGGTATTCAGAAGCCATGACATAAATTCAACAGGGTCAGACTGTGCACCTATCCGAAAACGTTTTTTACTAGCTTTCATAACTGCTTGCAAGAACTCATGCGGACTCACCTGCACAAACATTAGTTGAAATAAGAAAACCATGACGAACAGACAAAGTGGAATTCACCAATGCTGGTATGCACCTGTCCCTTAAAGTTCCGTGCATGCCAAATCTTTCGGGTGAGCTCTCCAAATCGATGAACAAGAGGAGATCTACTGTGTTGATAATTTTCAGGGATAAGAAAGAAGTTTCTCAAGGGAGTTACTCGCATCAAAGACTGAATCGTGACATTGACAAAATCAGTCTCCTTGATGTTATTCAGCCCAATCTAACGTATGCCCCAGAACCAAAAGATTAGCATCTAGACTAAAAGAGACATAGTAACTTGAACACTTATATACTAAACAAATAAATGCAGCATAAAGAAGTTTATTACCGTTCCAGGAAGATAATCAGACCCATCAAGTGCTCTGGACCATTGTCGGCTCTTATCAAGTTGTTCAACCTGCTCCCCATTAAATCTGTCAAATAAATACCAAACAAACAACATGGTGAATCACAGTAATCTTTTCAAAGAAAGGATTACCAGCTTATAGATGCAGGGGAAATATAACTACACAATGCAAGAAATGGCGGCAGTCCAGAGTAAGTTGCGCCAAACCTTGGATTCAGCACGTGTATAATGTCATCAAGCGATGGATCTATGACTTCATATCCATCAGGAAGACAATAAACTTTCTCTGTTCGTAAATTGATATACACATGGTGCCCTGCTTCAAGACTGTGTGTATATGCATGGGATTTAGGGCCCCTTCCTTGGAAATACTTCCCACAAACTAAACATGCATACACATTTAAATTTGTGAGAGAGACCGAGCAAAATTTCTCAAAGTCAAAATCCAATACCTGCAAAATTAGACAAATATATAAAAGGGGATATACAGAGAAGGAAAAAAAGAAGAGAGAGATAGAGTGAGCCATCAGTCTTGACACATGAGCTAAACCAAATGTGTTTTACTGATGCAGTCAATATAAATGCATCAAATCCAACAAAAAGAAAAAGTTTGGCCCTCAATTACTACAAGACACCCTTTTTAAAAAGGAATTAGTATCAGACACTTTAAGAGTCCCAAAAGCATCAAGCTATTGTCCCTAAAGAAACAGAACGAAGAGATTTTAAAACCAAAGTAACGAATGGAGAAGCATATCAGAACTTCAGCACCAAAAGGATGAAAAGTGTCGCAATTTCGCTGTGCAATGTAAAATTTCATAATTTCACCACTAGATATAAAATTTCAGTCTAGAAATTTGTGCAGTCTAAATTAGGATAGATAAACCTGTTCCAGAAAAACTGAATCAGGAGGCTACCTGTCTATTTACAGTATCAAGATAAGGGCAGTCCCTCCGAATTTCAATTGCACGATTTCGCTTCCCTTGGCTTCTACCATGATACTCATCATCCTCATCTTCTTCCTCGTCGGATGAGTAGCCATTTAGCTCCTTGTTTCCACCATTATTTATGACTTGCTCGGCAATGTGTCCTCTCCTTCCATCATCCTCATCGTCTTCATCATCATCATCATAAGATGCAAGTGGAAGAAGTGGATTCTCGAAAGCAGTTGGTGCAAGAGAGGGAGAAGAATGCTCTATTACCTTCTGCCGTTTTGGGCTTGCCTCTTCAGCCACCATGCTATCTTCTACTTCTCGCTTCTTTGTCATTCTCTTGTCACCTCAAACTACTAAACTTCACTGGAGACGATAAAATTTCAGATCAGTTACCACACATCAGTTATGATTCAAAGTAATCTCGAAACTGTTTTGAACCAGAATATAAAAAATTTAATTTGCATATACTATAATTAGTTGAAGGATTATTTACCAAAGGAAAATGAAATATAAGCCATTGTCTCTTAAATGTTCATTTATTCATCTTCAAAAATTAAGAGCAGCCATTCTGCAAATTTGCTAACCTAGAGTAAACCACAAATGAAGCATACGACAAAGCTGACACCCATTTGAGTGTTTTTATCTTATTTTTCTTCAATTAGTCAACGTAAAACAGAAGGTAAAAGGAATGACTAAAGAAGGAAAACGAAGATCAGCGTGCCAAGATCTTTTCACCAAAAGGAATCTAGTTCTTCACACTTGTGATGTTCCTCTCAAACAAAATTGACTCCAGATTCTTAAAGGATGAAGAAATACGCTCATCTATTTTCTTTCACCACCAAATACAGAAACTCTATCAAGGAACTCTTTTACTCTCATCTCCTTTTCCCAGTATCCTCCACAAGAACAACAGTCACGGCCTGCATGTTGCATCTACATCAAGCCACAACCATTTAGACCAGATAATCTTACAATTCTCACAATCCAGTATACACCAAAATAAGCACTAAACAGGTCACGTCCCATCCCCTAGCCCTCTAAACTCTGACTAAGTGATTGCTGATACTACATACCATACTTGCAACTAATATATAATCCATATTTCCTTCTCGGTGACATTACAAGAATAAAAAAGATTAAGTTAGAACACTCTGATAGTACAGAGTACAATATCAGTTTCCCTTATTGGTACCACGCAGAAACCAAGCCTAGCGCATATACTTGCATCTCTCAGTTTGCAATTGTAGTATAGGTTAGCGGACCACAAAACTTTTAGGGGTATAGGATACTCAATGAATAAGGTGAATACAGTGGAAATATATAACATCATGAAAAGAGAACATATGTAATAAGTAGAGGCTGATTTTGGAAGATCAAAATTCCAAGGAACAAATCTTTGACATGCTAAGCACGGAGCAGACAAGGTTGGTATATCTAACAAGCATTTTATTACAGCCATGCTTTTTGAAAAACGTAGAAAAGAAATAAGAATGATCTTTTCTGTTTAATATAAAATGAAATGCATTTTTGTTTCTTAGTATGAAACAAGGAATTCAAACAATAACTCAGTCTAACTTTGCCTTTTTCCTTTTCTGTCACCTGTAGAAAATTGAGACAGATCAAAGACATTTAAGAACACCCTGACTGATTAATCAAAGTTTCGGAGCAACATTTAGTGGCTGAATTTGGATTAAGGTGATAGTTCATTTAGACCTTCTTGAGTTCTATAGACTATACCTATTGCACATCCATCTCCTTCGAAGAAATGCATCCTGTGCAATGTGTACATATCTACTAGTATCTACGAAAAGCACCAGCATCCACCAAAATAGAAAATTCCCACATAGATTTTAACATGTTCCAGCTATATTCTACTCTCTTATTGTTATCCTTTTGCCTTTTGCTCCTTGTTACATCTTCTTCGACAATTTACTTACTTAACTTAGTAAGTGCTATCACTCCAAAAGAAACTGAAGGTTAATACATAAAGCAGCATAACATTTATTAGGAACCCTACAACCAGGACACCAATTTACTGCCAAATTAAATTATAACAATACCACAATCAATTATCTACACCAAGTTATAACAGACAATAATATGGAAATCTAGTTAATTTAATCAGGCAAGTAGATTGAATTGGTAATACAGGTTTCAGTTCTAAGATTTAGTGGCAAGAGTAGATGCCCAAAAATCTTTGTAACAACAACAACAACAAACCTAGTGTAATCCCACAAGTGGGTCTGGGGAGGGTAGTGTGTATGCAAGCAATATTATAGACCAAAAACAATCTATGGAAAAATAACCCAAAAAAAAGACCTAAGATATCCAAGAAGAAAAAATCGAAAAGCTCTCTTACTTCTCTACCCTAAATGCTTGAATAAAGCAAAACACAATTTCATAATTAGACTGAAATCGAGTAGGAGAAGCTGTAAAATTATCGCACAGATTCAAACACAATTCACTACAGGCAAAAGTAACACATCAACGAGGCAGCCAAATAAAGCGAAACGAACAAATTGAAGAATGCATAAGAGAGCATAGTTGTGGAGGAAGAGGAGAAAACCTGGAAATCGAAGTTTGAGAACCCAACTTTTCAAATGGACAAGAAAGTGCGAGGAGGAGCATATACAATTTTGAGGTATAGACCTAACTTTTATTAAACTTAAAAATCAGCTTTTAGGAATTTTTAAAAACTGGAGAAATACTGTAGATTCAAAGTTTTGGGGGAAAACCTGTAATTTTTTATGCAAAAACTATCAAACAAATACATCAGACTTGGGGTGTGTTTGGTAGGAAGGAAAATGTTTATCACAAAAAATATTTCTATGAAAAATAAGTAGTTTTATCACTTATTTTTCTTTGTTCGATTAGTGAGTGAATTTTTTTTCGAAAAATATTTTCTAGTATTTGGTTAGAGAGTAGAAAATATTTTTTTATGCTACTCTCCTCGCCCAGGACCCTTTTTCCCTTGTTTCATATGTTCCTTCCCCCCTTCCCCCCTCTCCCAAAAAAATACCCAATATTTTCAAGACTCTATTTTCTTCAAAGAATTTAATTATTCTTTTAACAATTCACATAAACCCAAAGGAACTAATGTGTTGCTTTAATTTACTTTTTATGTAAAAATAACGTTGAAATTTGTGCTTCATAACTAAATAAAAAATACTTTTTTTGGTTGAAAAAGAAAGTACTTTTTCTCGACATAAAAATAAAGTACTTATTTTGTTGAAATGAAATAAAAATACCTTTTTCTACATCGTGAAAAGAAAATATTCATTTTGTAGAAATGAAAGTCGTGATAGTTATTAATGTTTTTATTTGTCTTTTTTAGTTTTGTGTTTTCAAGTATCAACTGGAGGCCTACGCAATATAGTTTGAACATAAAAAAAAGGTGGGGCGGGGTGAGGGTGGGTAAGTGGGTTGGTGGATTGGTGGGGGTAAGGAATGAGGTGAGAATGTTGTAAAAAAGTTTTGAAAAATATTTTCCCTTCTCTTAATTGGGAAAACATTTTCCTTCAATNTCATTGAAAATATAACAAACATTCCTAAACTCTTACTCCAAAGAAAACTTTAGATATATACTTAAACACAACATAGTACTCATTATATTAGATAAGTGATTTCACCTTTGTAACGACCCGGCCGATCGTTTCATGAATTACCGCTCCGTTTTCCCCATTTATGCTTTCTTATGTGTTGTTCAGCTACATTTCATTGTATCATGTTGGTTTGTTCGGGTTTGGAGTAGTTTTGGAGTATTATGAGACACTTAGTCTCTTCTTCTTTTTTTTGGCAAAGAAACATTTTATTTAATATTAAGTAACGAGATTACATAGCCTGGTTCTCCCATTGGGAGCAGACGAAGGCATACTAGTAGAAGTAGAAGTACAACCAAAAGAAGTCATTACAGGATTGCCCAGCATGACCAAATTATTTAGTATAGCAGTATTAGTAGTAGTAGTTCTAATAACTGTGAGTCCTTCTTTATCAGTACGCACAGCTTCTTTAAGATAGCCCGATGCTTCTAGATATATCTGGTTAATGTTGGCTTGGTGAACTCCATGTTGCGCCAGAGCATGTGCTATGTTGTTGCCTTCCCTGAAATTGTGTAGGGTGGGTGGATTCCCCAACATTGACAAAAAGCTTTTTTTGTTTTCGAATAAAGGTACATTATATTTAGTAGGTGATTAAAGAAATATATTTCAAGTATGTATTTACTATTGTTGACGTATTAAAGTTGAGGATAACTTTAATTGATTTTTTGACTGTTTTCACGGATATTAAGGAATTTACCTTTTAGCATTAATTAACAATGAAATTAACTTTATTAACTTTAATTTATTCATTGAAAATATAACAAACATTCCTAAACTCTTACTCCAAAGAAAACTTTAGATATATACTTAAACACAACATAGTACTCATTATATTAGATAAGTGATTGCACCTTTGTAACGACCCGACCGATCGTTTCATGAGTTACCGCTCCGTTTTCCCCATTTATGCTTTCTTATGTGTTGTTCAGCTACATTTCATTGTATCATGTTGGTTTGTTCGGGTTTGGAGTAGTTTTGGAGTATTATGAGACACTTAGTCTCTTCTTCTTTTTTTTGGCAAAGAAACATTTTATTTAATATTAAGTAACGAGATTACATAGCCTGGTTCTCCCATTGGGAGCAGACGAAGGCATACTAGTAGAAGTAGAAGTACAACCAAAAGAAGTCATTACAGGATTGCCCAGCATGGCCAAATTATTTAGTATAGCAGTATTAGTAGTAGTAGTTCTAATAACTGTGAGTCCTTCTTTATCAGTACGCACAGCTTCTTTAAGATAGTCCGGTACTTCTAGATATATCCGGTTAATGTTGGCTTGGTGAACTCCATGTTGCGCCAGAGCATGTGCTATGTTGTTGCCTTCCCTGAAATTGTGTAGGGTGGGTGGATTCCCCAACATCTTCAACCAGTACCTGCATTTACAAAGAAGGATGTGAGCACGTGATGTTTGCCCTATGTGAATTACTCCCATAAATTCAAGAAAAATAAATTTTTCCCATTATTTGCAAATTCGTAGATTTTTGTAGCTTTTTGCTAATTGCTTGCACTTGTCCGCACATGTTTAATTTTGATTAATTCATGAAAATACAAAAAATATATTGCAGTTGCATTTAGGACTTAATTTTACATTTTAGATTAATTAGTGAATTAATTTGTTTGACAAAAATAGAAAAATCACAAAAAATAACTCATTTTGCATTTAGCTTTGAATTTTGTAGTTTTCCTTTAATTTGGTAATTAGTTAGTTGTGTGAGTATTATTTTGAGTAATTAATTTAATTTGGTAGGATAATTTGGGTTAGGAAGTAAATTAGGTTTTACTTTATTTATTTATTTATTTTAAAAAAGAAAAAGGGATTAAAAAGAATTTTGAAAGGGGAAAGAAAAGAATTAGATTTTTGGGCCATTTTATTTTAATTCTCTCAAGCCTAAACAATTGCACCCTTCAACCCATCCAAACCAGCCCAAACCATGCCCCAACCTGGTCTAACTTTTCAGTCTCCTAAACAATTCAAACACGTAGTATCAGGCCAATACTACGTCTTTTTGAGTTTCTTAAAGACAAATCAATCTAAGCTTTTCATTCCTCTTCATCGAACGGCTAGCAAAGCCTCACCCTAATCACATAAGGCTGTCCAAAAACCTTAGAACATTAACATAGTATTGTCTTCTTTATCACACCCTCCTCTCACCACTGTCCGCCGCTCATCGGAAATCACCAGCGGCGGCGGTTGACCTCCAATCCATACCAGATTTACATCGTAGTACCCTCTTCCTCCCCTCATAACGAATCCGTCATTTATTGCCTTCGAATCATCGTGGAACTCGTCGAATCTTCGATCGAAGTTTGGACCTTCAAACCTTAACCCAACCCAAACCCATACCAGTTAAAGCCCAGACCGTCCCAAAGCTTATCTACACGCCTATTTCCTGAAAACCCCAACAGGACCTCCCCACTTCCAAATCTAAGAAAATTCAACCCTAATCTCTCTCTTCTTCTGATTCCGTTCAAGGCCTGGCTTCATTTTGAATTATAGTCTATGCGGGTTGATTATTCTTAACGAGAACAATCAATCGTCATTAATTTTAATTTATTCCGGGGATGTCAGAGTTTGACGAGTTCATCAAGTTCCGAGCCAATTGTTCACTCTCATTGATACGCCTCATGTCGTCAAGGCATTCCACCATGTTTGGTATTTTTCCCTCCTTTCTCCTACTAATTTTATACACCGTAGTTCCTTTCTGTTTTCATTTGGTTCAGTTTTATTTGTTTCTTTTGTTTTTCATTGTTTGTGACTGATTATCTTTAGTTAGTCAAGTTCGATTTTAGTTTGATTAGCTAAAGTTAGTTTAAGACTAAAATCAGAATTGTGTGAGTTTTCCCTCCAGTTTTGGATTTGTTCTTTTTCTATGGTTTCGTTTAATCATTTCTGAGTACTCAAGTCTCTCATAGTAACTATGGTCACCACTGACCTAGTTAAGAGACTGGTTTATTTGGACTGTGGTAACTATGGTCACCACTGACCTAGTTAAGAGACTGGTTTATTTGGACTGTGGTAACTATGGTCACCACTGACCTAGTTAAGAGACTGGTTTATTTGGACTGTGGTCTAGGTTAACCCAAGTTAATAATTTAAGGGTAAATAACCAGGGGTTTTAAGGGTGATCTAGGAATTGTAAGTAGAGAATCTCTCTATAACTGAAATAGAAAGCTTCCCAGAAGCTGTCATTAGGACTTAACTGAATTTCTGATCTTTACACTAGGGGTATCTAAGCTAAAACCAAAATTTCAAAAGGTTTAAAGTGCAAAATTATTTTCAGCATTGTTGCCCTAATACCTTGCCTATAAAGGCATCCTTACTTCACTAGTAAAAAAAATGAAAAGGAAAAATCCTGCAAAACTGAAATGGCTGGAATTGTTTTGAGAAAACTCTGAATTGACACTTAGATTCATCACACTCTGTGGAAAATAGCTCATATCCTGCTTAGTCTAGGTTTCCTGATCCTCCCTATTAGCTAAAGTTTTGAAGCATTTCAAATCCCTGCACCTGGCTGAAAAATGGTTTGATTCTGGGAATTTAAAGGCTTGGTTTGAAGCTGTTTGGTTTTCTGGGTTACTGCTTCATTGAATCTGGGTACTGATATGTTGTTGTTGTTTATTGAATCCTCACTCCTCCTTGTTTCCTCTTGTTCCTAGGTATTTCTCTCGAGCCATGAATGGAAATAGTGTCTTTTTTGGGCTATTGTGTGAAGATATGTAATTCCAATTGAAGAAATGGACTTTTGTTACCTCTTTGTGGCTCTACCAGTTTCTTTTCTTTAAGTTTGTTGCATTGTGTTTTATGCTTTTTTCCTAGCCAAGTTTTCTTATGTGTAGCTAATCATGTAACCAATACTACACGTACATCTTAAGATTAAATATGAGTTCTGTCTCGAATATATTCAATTCAGAAATATATTAGATGCTAGGTGTGTGTATTAACTGAAGATATTATGTATGTATATTAACTGAAGACCCTGGTTCTTTAGCTTGATTGTGAGGTTGTTTGGTTTTGAGTGTGGCTATGAGTTATATGCTTGTTAGTTCGAACCATTTGTGTTTGGGTCTATTGAATCTGAGCTAGGTCTATTTTTCCATCCATCATGTGTTCA